TCAGTTACTTGGGTGTGGCACATGGGGTGGCCAATCAGGTGGCAGTGGTGGTACGTGCCATTCAGTCCACCCCTCTGGCTCCACCCCTGCTGTTTTGCAGTCCAGGTAAGTAAAAAAGATATTTACAATGAGGTTGGTGTGTATAACAGCACAATGGGTTAATGGCTAGCTTGTTCGCCTTGTGTGTGTGTGTGTGTGTGTGTGTGTGTGTGTGTGTGTGTGTGATGGGCAGGGGTACTCCAGTTTTCTACATCAGTCGGTGAATCTTTAGGCTGCCTTCAGGCTCAGGTCTCCATTAAAAATAGAGGATCCTAATCCTAATCTCAGTGAGATTTTCCTGGTTRAATAAAGATAATCAAAATAACATACAAGAGATTAGGATAGTAAAAGTAAAATTTGCAGTGTCCCATCAACAAGAAAGGATCAGGGAACAATTTCTGTATTTATCGTTGTCCACCAGCAGGAGGCAGTGTTTAACCTGTGAAAGCTGAAAATACACATCTGGAAAGAAAAACCATTGGACCCTTTGGTTTATTTATTTTATCTGCTGTTACATCCACCAATTTAAGCAAACAATAAATACATGTTTTGTCGGACAACAATATACCACATTACTGCTTCTCAACTACACATAACAGGTGATATCTGCAGATACTGATTTGATTGACAATTCTGTGATAAAACAACAAAATGATTTTTTTTTTATTTTTGAGGATCTTTGGGTCCCTGATCTCAAGTGGTCCTGAAGCAAAAAATCTTTTAAAATCAGATTTGGATTTGACTGCTTGGCGTACATCTTAATTGATTTGCAGAATCTCAGAGAGCMGCTTTCATTCAGGCACAAAAGGTTCTCTGTAACAAACAAAGCTTTTTTAAAACTGCTCAGGTACTCATTACACGCGTGCGCTGAAAGTATTAATAAATCTGCAGGCAAAAGTATTGTGTTTATCTTGTTTTATTAGTTTAAAATCAAAAGCTAGAATAAATCAAAGCAGGTTRGTGAAGTCATACACCAGCTGACACATGAACTATTTACTAAGGACAACTCTGTGGAAACATATTGATCTCTGTGAGGAGGAGTTTGTTGGTTGCAGCTGGATATAAAAAAAACACATTAGCTGTATAACCTGAATCACTCAAAATTGTGCACGAAAAACACTTTGAGTGTATATTTTTTGTTGTCAGAGTGATGAAAGAAATCAGTGCAAAACATCATCAAATCTGAAACACGGACAATTGTGTGTGACAGGGAGTAAATTGTGTCAAAGTAGCACAAAATAGATTCTTTGATGTTTTTTTATTATTATTTTTATAATTATTATTTTTTGCTCAGCTATGACTTTTTAAGCAAGAAAGAAAAGTGAAAATGGCCAAAAGAACAAAGCAGGATGTGCAAACATTAAAACTCACTCTTTTCAATTGACTTTGCTGTCGTGATGGTCGAATTTCAGAAAAACAAAATCCAAACTGAGCTGCTGGCGTCAAATTTACTTAAGGGGAAAGTGATGGAGCGTAGGTGTGTGGACACACGTACAAGTAAACAGTAGCCACAAACCACTTTCATGTGATGGCGAAACAGTTTGACCATGGCACTTAGATGCATGTGCTGTTTTGTAGGATGTATAGCATGAGTCTTGTCAGAAGMGTTACAGAGTCAGTGAAGGAAGCCTCCAGCAGAAGCAGGTGTGTCATCAGTCTGTAAATATACTCAGGGGAGGACCCAGGAGCATCACAGAGGACCCAYAACTTTGAGTCAGCATCCTTTAAATCAGCACAGTTTACATTTCAGGCAGTTCATTTAAATTTACTGCATAAGAACAACACATTTACCATTTTAAAGAGCATTGTGAATGTCTTCTTGCAGACGGACAAAGCAAAAAATGTGCCGATTTACTTTTTTAGTTGTTGTGGAACACCTGCACAGTGTTATGAAAAGAAAGTTAAAATAAAAAATCTAAGCGGACAAGTGCCCACACTGAGTTTGGTGTTCTGGAGCTGGCAGGCAGTCTCYTGGGTTAACCTCAGACAGGTGTTGGGAATAAGATGCACATGATGGGTTTCCAGCTGCCGACACACAGGAGAGTAGAATTTGTTATTTAAATGCAGTGACRGTTCTGCTCAGCCTGTTTACATCTGCACTATCACTAATAGAGGAAAACATCCAGTGTAGGAGCTGATAAATGTGAGCTTTATAAAAACAGCAGATTGTGCCAATAATTTATTTTTAGACCATGAAAGATTTACAGTAAATGAATGTTCTGTGCTGACATGAGGTAAATCTTGGACCATATTTGATGGAAAAGTGCGTAATTTACAGACTTGCTCTACATGATAAAACACTGGAACCTCAAGCAAAATCAGAATCGAGTCAATAAATTAAGGTCCCAGTGTGCTGAGACTGTGTCTCTCTGTGTGCTCTGTACATCCCAGTGGAGGATGTTGTGTTTCTTTTCTTAAGTCCCAAGAGCCAAAATGTCCCGATAGTCTGAACAAGACAAATATTGGGCAACACAAAACTGGAGCCTAACCAGCGTTTACGTCTGTTAATTTACTGAGTATKTTTGGAGGATTTAGCAAACGCCAAATAACGGTTTTATCTGTACATGTCAGGATCAGAAAAGTTTGGAAATTCATCTTTTTTTTTTCCTGGTGTTAAAACAGGAGCAAATTTGGAAACTTTTACGCGCGCAAGTGTCAACTTCAAGTAAACAAACCAGCCCCCCTCCCCCAAAACCAGCTGAAATCACTGGGTGTACGGGGCCACTTTCGAGGTCGATGAGCCTTTCCGGTCTATGATGGACAGGGTGTAATCCACGTTGTCCAGAATCTGGAGGGGCACGACTCCGTGGACCTCTTCTCCGTGCGTAACGGAGCGCGTGGTGCAGCCTTTGCTCGGGGGAGGAGTGGAGACTCTCCAAAACAARTTGCTCAGTAGCTTCCTGATCTCCGGCCTCATCAGGCAGTAAAGGACCGGGTTCAGGCAGCTGTTCGTGTGCGCCAAACACACCGTGACCGGGAACACGTAGGTGTGCACCGTGTAGTACGACGTGTCCCAGTTGGCTGCGTTGAACTTCACCAAAACCCCCCAGAAGGTGATGGCGTGGTTCGGCATCCAGCAGAAGAAGAAGGACAGGACCACAATAGCCACGGACTTGGTGACTCTGGATCTTCGTTTGGGGTTGCTGCTGTCCATGCTCTTCCTCCTGACAAAGCGCAGGAGCATCAGATAGTTGACGGTGACTATAAACATGGGGATGACGAAGGCTATCAGTATTTTCTGGATGTGGTAGAGGGCGAGCCAGTCGTGTCCCTCCGGAAACTTGAGGAGGCAGAGTTTTTCCCCGGCCACCACGGTCACGGTGGAAAAGATGGCCGTGGGAGCCGTGGCCGCCGTGGCTGCCAGCCACAGCACCGCGCACACCCACCTCACGCACCGAAACCTCCTGTAGGACCTCTTCTTCAGGGCCGTCGCCACGGAYAGGTAGCGCGTGACGCTCATGGCCGTGAGGAAGAAGACGCTGGCGTACATGTTCATGACGGTGACCGACAGGATGATCTTACACATGGCGTCTCCAAACGGCCAGCTGAAGTCCAGCGCCGTGTCCACGGCCCAGAAGGGCAGCGTCAGCACGAACTGGAAGTCCGTCACGGCCAGGTTGATGATGAAAACATTGATGGTGGACCTTTTCCGACCTTGTCTCAGTCTCATGAGGAAGAAGACGAGCAGGTTCCCCACCAAGCCTACTGCGCAAACCACAGAGTACACCACCGATATGAATATCCTCAGGATGGGAGAGCCGTCCGCGCTCACGTCGATGTCCTCAAATGTAAACTTCTCATCCCCGACGGAACTTCGGTTGGGAGCGCYGCTTTGGTTAAATATTTCATCCATCCTCAGTGCTGATGCGGCGGCTTTCTCCTCCGCGCGATCAGTGGCTTCTTGTACTCTCCATGGCGCCTGGGCTGAATGACAGCTGACCTGCTTTTATACAGGTGTTGCTCCTCTGCTGAGCTGCGATTGGTCGAACAGGAGGAGAGAAAGAAGCAGATGTCCCGCAGGATATCAGAGAACCAGGACAGATTCTTGGGTATCTGCGCGTCAGAGGCTGTTGCGCACACGGACTGTGCGTAAAACAAACCCAAAGGCGCACATTAACTAAAAACAAAATGTCAAATAAATCCAGCCAAAAAAATGCATAAATTAATACACTAACATGTCTAATAAAAACATAAATCACATTACTTTTATTTTTTATTATTATCATTTGTTGTTATTATCCATCCATCCATCCATCCATCCATCCATCCATCCATCCATTCATCCATCCATCCATCCATCCATCCATCCATCCATCCATCCATCCATCCATCCATC